AATAAATGACCAGAACGTGGTTCTAAATGGTAAGAGCCACTTTCTAAGGAAGCCATCCCCCCTGTAAGATAGTCTACCCCACAGCCATCCTACTGCTACACTGAAGGCAGTGGCCATCAGCCACACAACATTGGCCAAGAGTTCCTATAATTCTTCTTTCCAACCTGTCCCTCAATGTTCTTGGTTTCTTTTTTTTTCTCCTCATCATTCCAGCTTATGTTGTTCATGTCATTTCTTCTCCTATGTTCTGTATCTCATTCTTTTATCTCGGTTTCTTACTTAAGCTAAATGCACATGAATGATGATTGAAATAGTATATCACATATGAATACAGATACATTTGGCAAAGGCTGCCTCTACCTGCCCCCAAATGCCACCACCCTCACCACCACAGTTACATAAAATACTCATCACAATTAGGCCCCAATTGCTGTTTTATTCTGGAATAATCTCCCACTGCAAGCATTGCATCATTTTGAAGGCGAGACCTAAGAAAGTCCCAACCTGTCCGAGTCAGGCCCCGAGCGCTGAGCTGGGCGCTGGATTACTTGACTCATCAAGTAAGAGTTGTAATGTCTTGCTCAGGAAACTTGTGGAATCTCCCTCTTTGGAATGATTTTTTAAATAGAAGGAATTCTCATTTCCTGGGATAGTTTAAGAAGGTTCTGGCTTAAAGGCAAAGAAATACACTTGATGACTTAGAAAGGCTAAGTTTCCGTGATTTCAAGATTTTTGTGAATTTTGTGAAGACACACAAATGTAAAAACTAAATGTCCTTTAGCTAAGGTTTCTTAAATTGCACTGGTTCTAAAAAATGTAAATTCAGCTCTCCCAGGTGGTAAGTTTGCCAGCTAGCAACAAAAATGGAAGGCAGCTCACAAACTTAGATCAACAGCATTTCAGAACAAGGCACAAAAGAACAAACAGAATTAAGGAAGAACTGGTAGAAAAGATAAATCAGAGAGCAGTAGCTCTGAAGCAAACCCTGACCAAGAAGACACCATTAGCTTCACTTTTCCGGGAGCCGAAATAGTTGAGAATTGTAAACGACAGTAATTTTGTTTTAAGATTCTTAAAAGAAGGCCAGTTGTTGCTATCTTGTTTTAATGCTACTGTGTTAGTCTGCCAGGGCTGCCATAACGAAGTCCCACAGTCTGGGGGCTTAAACAACAGAATTTATTTCCTCACAGGTCTGGAGGCTAAAAGTCTGAGATCAAGGCGTCAGCAGAGTCGGTGTCTCCTGAGTCCTTTCTCCTTGGCTTGTAGATGGCCATCTTCTCCCTGTGTCCCTCCATGGTCCCTCCATGTGGGTCTGTGTCCTAATCTCCTCTTCTCATAAGGACACCAGTCATATTGGATTAGAGCCCAGCCCACCTTTCTGACTTCATTTTTTTTTTTTAATTTTATTTATTTATTTTTTCCCCCAAAGCCCCAGTAGATAGTTGTATGTCATAGCTGCACATCCTTCTAGTTGCTGTATGTGGGACGCGGCCTCAGCGTGGCCGGAGAAGCGGTGCGTCTGTGCGCACCCGGGATCCGAACCTGGGGCGCCAGCAGCGGAGCTCTCGCACTTAACCGCTAAGCCACGGGGCCGAACCCTGACCTCATTTTAACTTAATCACCTCTTTAAAGACCCTGTCTCCAAATACAGTCACAGTCTGAGGTCCTGAGGGTTATAACTTCAACCAACGAATTTTGGGGGGACACAATTCAGTCCATAACAGCTACCCTTTTCTCCCTTGACTGTTGTTTCTGTGTATGTTTTATAGCATTTGATTGTATTGTCTTTAGAGAACGAGCAGACTGTTGTTGGGTTTGGTGAGCTGATCCAAACCTGTCCTTGAGGCCTCCAGGAAGCCTTCCCCTTGAGTGAGCTCATGGTACCTCCCTCTCCTTGCTCTCCAGCTCCACTGCGCGGCTCCTCTATGCCCTAGTTCTTGCCTATTTATTTCTCTTGGCAACACCCTAGCGCCTCCCTCCTGAGCCCCTATGTGGACTCCATAAACATTCCTTGTTGATACAGATGATGGCATGTCGACGCTGGATGAAGATCTACGGAGACAAGGCTGCCTCTGGCACACAGTGGGCCCCTTTATGATGTGGTATATGTCTGTGAAATGATGTGTGAGCTGAGGGTGGAGGGGGAGAACTGATTGGCAAGTTTGTGGTGGAGCAAATTTTTATTGATGAAGGAGAAGCCACGGAGGCTGAGTAATGTGTTCTTTTCCTCAATCCAGTTTCCACATTCGGTGACTGGGAAAGGCAAGACAGAGTCAGGATGAGCTTGACTCATGATGACTCGAAGAAGCTCTCGCTAAGAAAAGTGGTCACATGGACTTCACAGGCTGGGTGGAGGCGGCCTCTCCCCAAAGAGGGAACACCTGGTAGACACTCGGTGCTCAGTACGTGATTAATTGCTGTGTTGATAGAACAGTGCCGGCCACCTCACCCGGGGCCCAGGCCCCATGCCTGCCCTTCCTAATGATAGCAGCCGCCTGCTGCGGCCTGAGCAGCTGGAAGTGAAAGCAGGGGTGAGGTGAGAGCTGCTGGCAGGGAGGGGGAAGGAGGCAACTTCTTCTAACATCCTGTGCAATAGACTGCACTCTCAATTCTACAGCCGTAGGGGCTGAATGTCAAAAGTAGATGCCAAGCATCGGGGTGGCCACCTCTTCATGACATTTAAAACTATTGCCCACCTCTTCCTGAAATGCCCCCATCTGGCTCAAAGCTTCCTCCTCCCTTCAAGGACCAAGGGTTTCTTGTACATTCGTGGTTTTCTACCACCTGATCATTCTTTGCTGCCCCCCTTCCCCCTCCCGTCCCCTTAGATGACGGCATTTCCCCAGCATTCACCTCCCACTTCCCTCCTCTCCCCTTTCTCCTCTCTCTTTCTCTCTCCAGCAATCTCCTCCCACCAGGAGGGTTCGCTCCCTGGATCTCCACAGCCCCACCTTTCTTGAGAAGGCCAGGTCTGATTTCCAAATGGAAATTCCTCTACGCAAGTGTTCTCAACCTTGGCAGCCCTGATTAGAATCAACTGGGAGGATTTTTAAAAATTCTGAAGCCTAGGCGGCACCCCCAGACCCATTAAATTAGAATTTCTGGGGGAATGGAAATCAAGCATCAGTATTTTTTTTTTGCTGAGGAAGATTAGCCCTGAGCTAACATCTGTGCCAGTCTTCCTCTACTTTTTATACAGGGTCGCTGCCACAGTCCGATGAGTGGTGTAGGTCTGACCCTGGTGTCCAAACCTGGGAACTTGGGCAACCGAAGCAGATGCACGCAACTTAACCACTACACCATGTGGCTGGTCACCAGGCATCAATATTTTTTGATGTCATTTTTAATTCTCCTACCTGGAGATAATTATCTCCCTTCTGACCTTCCACAGTGCTTTATCTGAACTGTTCTTAAAAACTTGATACTTTTTTATTTTAAGTCTGGCTCAAGAACAAGACTTTGGGTTTCAAATCCTGACCTAGACATTTAGCAACCATGAGACCTTAGGCAAGTTTGTTCATCTCTCTTTGCCTCAGTTTCCTCATCTGTAAAATGGGTTGAGTGGGGGCATAATAATAGGTCTTACCTCATAAGGTTGTTATGAAAAATTAAAAGCCTAGATCAGCGCCTGGCACATAACAGGAGATCAACAAAAGTCAGCTATTATAGCTTTGAGTAGTCACTAGGATTTTGAAGTGATAAATTTATATCTAATCCAGTGATTCTAGAAGTTTGGCATATATAAGGATCACCTGGAGAGCTTGTTAAAAAACAAGTTCCTGGGCCCCATTCCCAGAGATTCTAATCCCATAGTCTAATGCCACAGGGGTGGGGCTGAGGTCCTACATTTCTAACAAGCTTTTGAGTGATACCAGTGTGGCTGCTGGTCTGAGGACCCATTTGGAAGCATTGCTGGTCTAATCCACCTCTGTATCCTATCCCACCCACCCCTTCAGCCCAAGGAGTGGCAGGAGGCCGACTCTGCTAGAGCTTTCCTAGTGTTCAGACTCCACAGACTCCAGAGGTCATTCCCCAACAGCCAACTTGTTGGATCATTAGTCCAGCTCTTCAGGTTCCAGAACTTGCATGACTCATACTCTCAAAGCAGAGTCCAGACTGCCCAGTTTGTACCAATCCAGAACTTGCAAGGAATAAGATGTTTGTTGACGCAAGCATAGCTCAAAACCAACCCCAATTCTGTATTGTTGAGATCCACTGGGCCTTAAATTGGAAGCCACGGGTTCATGCAAAACAGTAAAAATGGGCAAAGTCTGCCTTCAGCTGCTCTTTCTTCCTTGAAAACGGCCCTGCCTCTCTTTCATCTGGCCTCAGTGACCTCATGGTACATAGTGATGCACTAGAGACCCTGGCGTGCGCTATCCCTGTGGATTTAAATCACTCCCTCAGCCAGGTTTTCCTTGTAAGGTCTTCAGGTACCCCCTTTTAATGAGGAAAGAACACTGGCTTCTCCCTCAGATGAGCAAGACGCCATTTTGTGCGTCTCCCTCAGGAGAGCACAGAGCTCCTTCATGGCTCTCCTGGCCCTAATTCTGGCTTCTCTAATGAGATGGCAGCACCAGGCATTTTTCAAATTTTTCTTCCTAGCAAGAGGCGAGAATATGTCCACGATTGTGTCTGGCTCTTTGCTCTTGTGCTGTTTATTTGGTTTTGCCCACCTCTGTGCAGCCAGAGTATCTATCTAATTATATTCTCTTTTTAAGCTGACTCTTTATTTTGTTTCCATTTTAGCTCAAGTCCATTACACTAAATACTGTACACATTATTATCCCCTAAACGACTTTACTCAATCAGTTTTAGCAAGCAAGGTCAGGGCCCAGTGAGCTGGAAGACCAGCCATTGAATTGGCTCCCAACCAAAACAGCCAACAGCCCCCTCCTTCTCAAATCAACATTGCTCCCAGAGGGATGGAGCTTTACGTCAGTGAAGAATGTATTAATTAAAGCAAATGAAAAAGCCCTCATTTGTTGTAATGAATTTAGCTCTTGCAGGCCATTTTCTATGGAGTCGCCTTCCTGGAGGATATGCTGAAAAGAATTAAAGGGAAAAAAGACATTAAGTTCATAACTGCCTTCAGAGACCTGCTTTTCACCACACTGGCTTTTCCGATATCCACAGTAAGTTACAAAGATGTGTATGTAATAGAATACACATGTACATATGGATGAACACTTCTCCTGGGTAGCAAGGCTGTTTGGGAGCCCATTCTTGTAAACCAGAGCAACTGCATTTGCATAAATGTCCTGTCTGAGGACTGCACCACATTGCCATGGTCTTCGGGAAAGGGGCGCATTACTGACCAGATTTATCTTTGTGATTTTGTGTCTTTGTGAGTGTTTGATACAAGATGGTTATTGCTGTTGAATGGGGAAGTTTAAAGGCCCTTTTTTAATCAAAATACAACTGAGATAACTTTGGTTCCATCAGGGTGATGGGAATGGAAGTTGCTAGAGAGGGAGATGACTAATTTTCCTTTTCATACATCTTGTTTCACTTGCTACAATAAGCATATGTTACTTCTGCAAGTGGAAACCATTTAAAAGAAGGTATGAGAACCTTCAAAGTTGGCATATGGAAAAGACAACTGAGGAGAGGGAGACAATCTGTCTAGAATACCAGGTGTGGGGAACACGGTGGGTGCCTCATCCATTTTGTTGAATGAATGGACGTTGGGAAGAAGAAAGACATGTGAAGGGATAGTAAGCTTGTGTGCTGACACCGTCCATATTCCTATGACATTGCTGATGATTTCATTCATCAGTTAGAATGGAAACAAACGGAGAGCAAGCACACCGGCCGCCTAGCAGGGCCTATAATTAGAAATGCCTACCTCCTTCCACCTGTCATTGTCCTGCTTTCTGTAGTATTGAGACTTCAAACTTAAATGCAAAATGAAACTCTCCAAACACTGATGAGCTCTCAGATAACAGAGAAAGTGCTGGCATTCCAGTTTTACTTTTCAGGACACCTCCTCCTCCACCCCCATCAATCTAAAGGCCAAGTTTTTTTATAACAATGGAGTTTATTCATTTTTTTTAAGGCTTAGAAATGGAGCCTTTGGAATTTAAGAAGATAGGAAGATTAGATTAATAGTCATTTTTTTTTCCATCTCTACATTGACTTTGTGACATAGAGGACAGACACTTTGGAAAGATAGCCAAGGGGTACAAGAGGATGAGGATCAACCTAAAGCTCTGAGCAGTGAAGAGGTACAACTCTCAGTTAACTAGCTTGTGAATTATCCTGGGAGCTTGTCATTTCTCTTCCCCAGGCTTCCTGCTCCCCTTGTCACGCCTATTTAAAGGATGGGCAAGGGAAGCGTCAGACTCAAGCCCTTCTGGGGGCTGCTCTCAGCACTCCTGGTGAAAGCTTAGAGAAGAAGAAGTCATTGGTTAAAATGAAATGACTTAATGGTCTGCGAATCCTGTTTTCCTGTGTCCCCTCTGCCTGCCACGATGACAAATAATTGATCCCTAACTCTCCAGAATCCCCAGAGAGAGTGGATATAGCAATTCTACAATAAGGAATTTTTTTCTTCATTTTACATTTCTGTAATGTATATGTAAGATATCTTTAAAACTGGTATCTATTTTTATTTTGTGATGTTTCCTTGGTTATCTTAGAAATCTCTGATTGAAAACAAACAATGATGCTATTTTTGTGTTTTATTTTCCAGTTTGTATTTTTGTCATTCTGGATCCTCTTTCTCTACGATCGAGAACTCGTGTACCCTAAGGCCCTAGATGATATTTTTCCAGTGTGGTTGAATCATGCAATGGTGAGTAAGGGCAAAATTTATGAATATAGAAAGGCAATAGCCTCTGTACTGAAAACTCCAGAGTGCCTTATTTGTGTTTCCAAATTTCTCCTCAACCTCCAACATCCCGTTCACTCCTCGCTCTCCATCCTGTCATTTATTTAAAGGGCACAATGAGGATATGAAATGAGCAAAAACTGGTACTGTAATCAGAGTCACTGAGAGCAGAGGGGATGTCCAGGCAAGACTCTTTGCCAAGTTGCTTATGAAGTCGTTGAAAAGACACGCAGCCATAAGGGCAGGCAACTTCTTGGTGGCTGCGGTCCTGAAAGGGAAGCGACTCCAGCAAACAACATATAATAAAATTCTGATCTAGGAATGGAATCAAGCAAGCTTTAAAAAAATCCACCCCAACAGCCAAACAATATCTCCCAGCTCAACAGCAGCTTCTTAGCTAACATTTGATCAGGACTATTCATCGCAAATGGAATTATTATTTCCATATTTCTATGAATATGCTTCCGTTTGGTTTTTTATTCACGTATTTATTTTTGAGGGGCTGAATAGCGAACAGAACCTGTTCTGAGATATTTAGATGACTGGTTTCTGAGTACTAGTAACGGTGACCTGGACAAGTGGGGCTAGAGCAAGGCCGTCCAGGGCTTGGACGGAGGAGGGGGTCTGAGTCATTGGCTCTACGTGCTCGAAGGAATCGTTCAACGCCCAGCTCAGTTTCTCACTTCTTACAGCTGCATTTCCACATTCGTCAGGAGTTCAGAAGGAGGTCTCCGATTCTGTGAAGCAAATGACATTAAGAAACCAGGGGGAAACCACCAGGGAGGGAGTAGCATATCAAGGCTCCTCAAGTTCACAGACTTTCTTCTACTCCTAATCCTTCCATTGTCTTAAAACTCACATGATTACCAATTTGGAAAAGCAAATTAACTCTTCCTTTCAGATGCCCCACCAGTCCATTAGCTCTTCCTTTCACATGCCCCACCCCCCCAAAAAACGTGCTTACACTTTAAATATGTACTTAGTGAGACACAGATTATTAACTAAGATACACAAGTTCTGATCTAACTTAGAGTTTAGGACCAAAACTATATATTAAATAAGTCTCACTCTCAGGGACCCCTCCTACCACCTTCTTCTTGTCAGACCACCTCCTCACCTTCCCAATTTCCCATTAACCTTAATTTGAGAACCCTTGTAGAGAATATTCCTGACCTTTTATGGCACTTTACACTGTACTAAGGCTGTTCCTCATATATGAACTCATTTAATTCATACAACTTTCTTTAGATAACAGCTATAATCCTGATTTTTACAAGTTAGAACAAAAAAAAAAAAGCTTAGAGAGGTTAAGTGACTTGCCTGGGGCCACCAAGCTCATAAGTGGGACAGCTGGATTTAATTTGCTTTCATTGCCTTTTACTACAGTAAGTGCAGAACTTGTGGTTCGATCTGGTTTCATAATTCAGGCAATCAAAAAGATGTCACTTTGCTTAATTAACATGGCAAAGTGAGAATTATCACTTAAAAAAATAAAATCCGGAATCCCCATCTGTATGCTAATAAGCCAAAACACGACTTAAGAAAGTGAAGTGATTTGGGACAGCTGACTGAGCTAGATGTTACTAAAACAAAAAGGCAGAGTATTGAAAGTATCTTTTATTTGGAGCCAAACACGTATATCAAATGCCTTTTCAAAGCTTTGTGAGCTCATCTAGTAGTTTTCCTACAACTATTACAAACTTCCTATCCCTATGGGATTCCATTTTCCACGTGGAAGTAAGTTGGGTTTCTTCCAAATAGTTGGGCTGGTGATGCCCAGCATTTGTGACCTTGCTAAACAGCCATATGGATTTTGGGTAATTTTGGAAGCAGATAGATGGAAAATGTACGTCATATCTATGAGCTAATTAGCAAGGCAGATACTGTCCAACAGAGATCCTAAATATTTTTGTGCCTTCGCAACCTGTGGGTTTCTGTTGACCCTGCTTCTAGTCCTTCAGTCAATCAGTAACCTGAATCCCTTAGAGAGAAGGGGCTAGGGTCAAAGAAGGTGGGACAACGGTGACAAGGAGAGAAGAGGAGGATGCAACCTGCCTTGGGTCAGACACAAACTCTTCTGTGTTTCTGTTAACTTAATCGGAGAAATTCCCAACAGAGCCGTTCCTAGGGAAAATGTTGGCATCAGCAAAACCAGCGTTGGGTGACCCTAATGTGGTCACCCCCAATCTTCCATGCTTCCTTTTGGTGTTTGCTCCAAATCCAGTGTCCTCATGACTGCCTCTCATCCCGCTCTCCCAGATGGTGTCCCTTACTCTGGATGTTTTCTGTCCTCACTATTAAATCCTCCTCGTCTATTGCCTCAAGGAATGCTCTCGGCTAACTTCTTAAATACTAGTATGAATGAATATGGAAATGGCTGTTACTGGGTCAACTTGTTAACACTTTCTACATTTTAACAGTGTCCTTCCGTGACAACCCAAAAAAGTGGATATACCCAGAAACCACCTCTGTGGCCACCAGAGTGATGATGGGCAGTCATCACTAGTTGGCTCCCTGTGGGGCTGGCTCTAAAAGGAAATCACTCCCTGTCCTGTTCCTTTTTTTCTTCCACAATATGAGAATTATTGCTGTATATAGCCAGTGTCATGCTTTCCTGAAAGGTTCTTTCTTTTCACAATAGTCCTTCTGTTTGCTATTCTAGCCTTAGCTTTGGAATATTTTCCCTGTTGTCATTTATGAAGCCGGCCCAGGTTTTATGAGTAGTATTTGTCGGATTAAGAAATACCACTCTCCCCTTTGACACAGTGTGTTTCTAAAACCTTCATGATTCATCAAGTCTTTGGATTTCTCTCAGCCCAACCCTTCTAGCTCACTATATTGCAGTAGGACCACTCAAAGCTGACTATCATCTCTAATGGACATTTTTCTACCCTTGTTTTGTATTCAAACCAAATAGTAACATCAGTGAGACATTTGCATCAACCATGGACAGGCTGCCCTTCACTGGTGCCCCAAGAACTCTTGTTTGAGCCATGCTCCCTTATTTAAAGTAGATCAACTTGACTGTTTTATTGCTTAGCAGTTCTCCAGTCTTCATGAAAGAAGGGAAAAAACAGCAAAGTATTCCTCCAGGTTTTGCCAGGAAAACATTAACTCCTCAGGTCTTATCTAGATGACTGCTAAAGATAGAACCAGAGCAGACAGGTTTAAATAGCAGGAAGAGGATTCCGTAATTGAGGAAACTATCAGATCCTAACCTGAAGGGAGTTGGGGAACTTATTTCTCTGGAAATCAACCTAAGTCGTTCAGGTTGCCCCAAAGAGAGGTGATATAGATCAGAGAACTCCCTCAGAGCCCCTCTACATTTGAAAATAGAACTTGATTATTAAGTGTCTGTGTGCAAGAACTTTATAAACTATCAAGGACTGCATAAATATGGAGTTATTATCATAGGAAACTCTCAATTCATGATCACAGAGTTTTAGAACTGAAAGGCTTTGTTGATATTAATGGAGTTTTTTTTTTTTTTTTTTTTGGTGAGGAAGATGGGCTCTGAGCTAACATCTGCCAATCCTCCTCTTTTTGGTGAGGAAGACTGGCCCTGGGCTAACATTCATGCCCATCTTCCTCCACTTTATACGGGACTCCGCCACAGCATGGCCCAACAAGCGGTGCATTGGTGCGCGCCCGGGATCTGAACCAGTGAACCCCCAGCCGCCACAGCAGAGCACCCGCACTTAACTGCTTGCGCCACCGGGCCGGCCCCGTAATGGAGGTTTTAAAACAATCTGCTCTTAAGAGACAGGCCTTCCCTTAGCTCTTTACATTAGAGCAAGTATGAAATATAGCTACTTAGTTATTTAATGTATTGTAATTTATTCACTTGGAAAAATAATTATAAAGGACCTACTATGTGTGTAACACATTATTTGACAAGGGTTTTGACTTCTAGCACCCTTAAATCTGGTTGATCCGAATACACACACACACAGTTGAAATAATAAATAACAGTCAATACTAACACAAGACATTGACACAGGTGGTGTCATGCAGTGATTTGTGATTGCCGCTAAATGAACGACATGGACAGGAGGGCTTCTAAGCCCCCTGTGTCCTGGCCTGGCTGTGACTGACATGTGGGTCATGACTGAACAACCTGGAAGGCCTTTCAGGCCTCTCCGTGGCATGCTGGGGAGTCAAAGTGTTAAAGAAGTGAAACTCTAAACTTTCCAATTTTTTCCTCACTCATAGCATGCAAGATGTTGTCTATCACTAAATCCAGACCCAAGCTCAGATTTTTCTCTCCCACCCATAAGCTTGGTGTGAAATTGTTGGGCTGCTAAGTAGAGGTAGGTGAGTCCTGATGAGTAAAGAAGGTCAGCTGTGGGCATGTAGGCTCCAGATGGCTGTGCTTTGTCCTCAAACGTTACACACCCTTCCTCCATGCCTTCCTGGTTCCTCACCCCAGCCCTTCCTCTGAGCAGAGGAGACCCAATCTAGATATGTCTGAATAGCTCAGTGGTTTTCAACCTTTAAGGAATAGACTGCTTTATGAATCTGAGGAACTCTATGGACCCTTGCCCAAGGAAAACGCAAATACCCATAAAATTTTGTGTACAATTTTAGAAGCTTTATTGGACCCTCAAAATTCCATTTATGGGCTTCGGGTTAAGCTCTCTTGATATGACTGAACATATACTTGAAAAGAGGGCCCCAGATGATTTCTAACGCTGAGTTCAAATCAAAAGACAAAATCAAGAATTATTCATTTTTAAAAAGTTATTATTATGTACTTAGTGCAGTTTTATTCTCTATGGGGTGACAAGAGAAATATGAGGTATGGTTCCTACCTCAAGAAGCTTACATTATAGATATTATATATCTAATCTTTTATATATATATAAAAAGAAATATAGATCATATATATATACACACACAGTTGTGTGTCGCTTAATGACAGGGATACGTTTTGAGAAATGTGTCATCAGGCAATTTCATCATTG